GTACTTTGCTTCGTGGAAATCACCTAGATCACTGTATAGTACCCAGGCTTTTGCAAGAAGTTGCAAAATCTACATGCTTAGGTCCGAGCTCTTTCAGATTAATGTCCAATCCACGTACATAGTAGTCCTTTGCTCGCTGGAAATCACCTAGATTTCTGTATACAGTACCCAGATTATTGTATGAAGTTGCGACAGCTACATGCTTAGGTCGGAGCTGTTTCAGACGAATGTCTAGGGTACGTGCAAGGCAGTCCTTTGCTTGGCGGAAATCACCTAAACCACTGTATACATTACCCAGCTTATTGTAAGAAGTTGCGACATCTATATGCCAGGGTCCGATATGTCTCAGACGAATGTCCAGTGCACGTGCATGGTAGTCCTTTGCTTTCTGGAAATCACCTACATCGCTATATACAGTACCCAGGTTATTGTACGAGGCTGCGACATCTACATGCACAGGTCCGAGCTGTTTCAGATAAATGTCTAGTGCACGTGCATGGTTGTCCTTTGCTTGCTGGAAATTACTTAGATGACTGTATACAGTACCCAGGTTATTGTAAGAATCTGCGACATCTACATGCTCAGGTCCGAGCTGTTTTAGACGAACTTCCAGTGCACGTACATGGTAGTCCTTTACTTTCTGGAAATCACCTAGATCACTATATACAATACCCAGGTTATTGTAAGAGGCTGCCACATCTACATGTTCAGGTCCGAGCTGTTTCAGCTAAATGTCTAGTGCACGTGCATGGTTTTCTTTTCCTTTCTGGAAATCACCTAGATCACTGTATACAGTATCCAGGTTATTGTAAGAAGCTGCGACATATACATGCTCAGGTCCAAGCTGTTTCAGATGAATGTCCAGTGCATGCGCATGATAGTTCTTCGCTTGCTCGAAGTTACCCTTACATTTGTGTGTGGTTCCCACAAGGAGATAGAGTTTTGCTTTTCCGAGAGCGTCGTTATACTTGAGTGTATAATTTTCAAGTCCACTTCGAAGTAGGTCATGGCAGCTTCGTATTCACAATGGTTGAGGCACATATTTCCTAGGATCAGAAGGTCATTAAGGTAATCTTGCAAGGGAATAACACCCATTTTGCTGACTTGAGATAATTCTTGCATAGAAAACAGAGATGGCTGGATTTTAGTCTCCGGTTACTAAGAACTCAGCTAGTATCCAGCCATCTTAACAGAACAAGCTTGGTCAATAACTCCAATTTATCGACCAGTAACACGGAGCTTGCGTACTAATTTTGCCGCTGTGTTATGGTTCATAAAAAAACGAACAGTATATGCGCAGAAGTTAGGGCATGACATATATAGAATTTTCTCGTAAGGCAACCCTCAAACACTCATTTAGGACTTGTTTCGAAACTGCTTTTCAGACCGCTAGATTTTGACAAAGATTCTAACATGTTTTGTCCAGGCGTGTTCAACTTGTCTACTGGAAATTTGTTTCGTATGGCATATTTAGGCTTCAAAACGTTTTTATCATACTGCATTGAAGATTACAACGTTCGGGTATTAAGTTTGAGTGCAACTATATTTGATGGCTTTTCTCGCCTTTACGTAAAATGCTACAGGCTTACCCTGGCCATTCCTCCTGTTTTTCGGAACAGCTTCATTAACGAGTCGAAACGCAAGTTTATCTGATGATTTGTCATTGTGTTCTTCGCATTATTCACGCGCTGATGAGTGAATAATGTTCATTAGCAGGGGAGGGCGCACCAATCAGTTACTGACATCAATAAAATAGCTAATTTTTTATCTACTGATTCAAGTCAATCACCTTTTTTTTTCTTAGTTGTCATGTTATTAGCAGGTTATAAACTAAATATTGCTGTTTTAAAGGGGGCCTTGTTTTGGCGTTGATCATTTCTATCCGGCTTGGGTCGAACAATAATCCAAAATGTCAAAGTTTCTTGTTTTGCTCCAGTTCTTCAAAATTCTAACAGCTTTTACTATTACTACTAGTGAACAATATCGCAGATCTGATGAAAAGAATAATGTTTATTTTGTCCAGCATTTGAATAGAATGCTAAACATTGATCAACTGGCATCTTACAAAGTCTACGATTCAATGGCCTGTGGCCTTCACTGCATCCGACACGAACTTTGCATCTCTGTCAACTTTGCAGTTGAAGCGGATCTAACGGGACACTCCTGTGCGCTGCTGAAAGCGGACAGATTTCGATATCCCAACAAACTTAACTGGAACAACTCTTATCATCACTACAGTTTAGCGGTAAGGAAAAAGTTTATTAACGCTAAAATAATACCTAAAAACTCATATCAGATATGTTTCAGATTAAAACCTCGAGGCGAATACTATTCAAACCGAAATTGAGGATTCCGTGGAAAATAAGCATACTCACAAAGAACAAAAACAAAAACAAATATTTTAAGATGAATGTGTTACTTATAAAAGAAAGAAGTAATCTGGTTGAAAATGGAGGCGTCCTCACATAAGATTATTTTGCAAAAACAAAGAAACGGCAAAAATTAAAAAAATGACTATAATGACTATTCTGGACAGGAAAAATATATGTTGCTCATACATATCCATGGTTAACGCAGAGCTGTAATTTTTTTGTTGTCGGGCGGCCTAGTCTTTTCTTTCATTGACTAGGAATACCGGGCTAACTTTGACATTGTTTTTTTCTACACATCCATTTCTTTCTATTGCTACCACTATCAGATTGAAAATATGAACCGACATGGTGCGTGCGCTTTCACGCGAAATAATTTAACTAGTGTTAAGTTCAACTGAGCGACAACTGATAAGTTCTTTTAAGTGCCTCCTGTTGCCATAGTGTCCTAACACTTAAACAGTAAAAAGAGGCACATGGTGTTTGGTCAAGCCGTCACCTATTGAATTAATCGGTAGCGTAAATCGTTTCCTATACAAAAAGAAATTATTAAGGATGGAAATTGGTAAAAATCGCAGTGAAAACAACTTCTCAAACAATGGAGACTGTATGAAAAGATGACCGTAATAAGAACCTTTTGCGCAAAATTAATTTTAATTTTCCGACATTCGCTCCCTTCAAAGACATTAATAGCGGGATCTGGCTCCATGAAACAATTCCCCATAACACTGATTGGCAAAGTTAAATTGGGAAAGATGCACATTATGATAAGATTTGTTTCGAGTAATACCTTCAAAAAAAAGAAAGAAAAAGTGAAACAACTTCTCGCATAAACAATGTATGGCCTGCATGCAAAGAAGCAATGCCGATTTCATTTCCTCTTTGTTTATTTTCATTCCATACCTCTTTATCATCGATTGTATAATTTTCTTTTCTTTTCCCGGTGAACCTACAAAAAACCCCTTCTATCAAGGTCTTCAAGTACGGTACTTTACTTATCGAACTACAATCATGCTAGTTCAATTTCTTGTGGAATAATCACGGCAGCCGATCAGAACAGAGGGCGATTTTACGGAAAGCCTCATCATTTACTTAACAACTATTCACGGAAGTATAGGTGGCTAATGAGAGATATTTACATAGGCGCACGACGGCGAAGTAAATATCCACTGCTCACCACCAATACTGAGATGTAATAGTATTAGTATATACTAAAACAGAGAGATAATATAGCGCAAAAATATGATTTCAAAAGTGATTAGCAAAGGATAATCGGAATTTGAGTAGCCAATCAGAGCGCGCCTTTAACGCTATCCAGTGTTTCAGTATATAATAAATAGAGAATACATGGGCGCGCATAGTGAAGAGAAATTCCATATGTAAAAGCAACCATGTATTATTTTGTTTATCATGCAAACACAATAGCCCTTTACTGACTAGAAAATAATACAGTAAGTTTGCCCACTCAAGAGTAAACATTCGTTGAATCACTACAGAAAAATATACAAATTCTCAGTTATTGACTTAGTCCCTACCAAAAGAAATCTTTCAGGTAAATGACCAAAATCGGCCCGTGGCAAATCTTCCAGTTGTCTTTTTTCGTTCTCAGCCGCGAGAAATGACTTTACCAAAGGCTGAATACGTAACTTTCGGTTTTTATTTACGTAGTTTGGTTTTCTTTCTCTTCAAGGGAAGTTTGAACATCACTGTCTTAAAGCTACGCGGATTTTTCAGTGTTTTAGCACCCATAATCCAAAAACATTGAATGACATTGATGAATTATTCCTTTTTCAGAACTTATGCGACAACAAGCCCTGTGGTGGAATCAGATGCCGTCCGTTGTATGGATCAAACGGATATACATGTGAACGCACTTCAAGAATCATTGAAAAAGGTAACATTGCTTTCAATAAAATTTATTATCTTCCACATTATGATCTTACAGATAATAACACTGATAATAATAATAATAATTATTATTATTATGACATTGATAATAATATTATCAATAATAATAGTGATTTGATTTGATATCTATAACACAAATTTAACCGTCAAGTCTCCAAAGCCGAGACTGCGTGGACTCAAATTTGAATAACATGAATATTAATGACACTGATATTAATAATACCAATAATACAATTGTAAAAATGATATTTATAATGACCTTCATGAGGTTTTTCAAAATAAAAGTTCATTTTTCTTAAGTTTAGTTGGTTTCACACGGAAACATCACAGTCAACATGGAGGCCTCAGTTACAAGGCAGAGTTTATTTGGCCATCAGAATCTTTTCTTCCCTATTCCATCTCTTTCTCTTTGTTTTTTTTTCCCTTTTTTTGTTTCCCCTTTTCCCGTTCAAGTTAAATGAAATCAGTATTGTAATCACGTATCAGTTTTAATCGAAGTCCGGTCCAGTTTCCTGATGAAGCCACTAACAATGATTTAAGCTCGCTGGGGTTGGTATCGCTGAACGATGTTATTCAGCTGGTGAAAATAATTCAGCTTGATCTACATATGACTTATAATTGGATTTGGCTCAGTGACAAAAAGCGTCCGCGATAATAAGCTTTAGACGAAGTACCATTGGCAAAAACAGAATGAGCAAGAGCAAGCGATCAACATCTCATATTTTGTGCGTCTTTTCAGCTTTTCCTTGGCTCCAAGTCAACCCAAATAGAGTATGCTTCGGTGCTAAAGATGACTCCTATGGAGCATTCACTGTCCCTTACGATGGTAATGTCGTATCCTTGAGGCTGGTTTACATTTCAGGATTTGTCTCTTGCCAGTACCATACAATGCCTCAAGGAAGTCACTGGGGATGTGCAAAGGAAAGTCAATTAACAACCCTGGTGACAAATGAAAGAAACGAAGTGATTTTTCCACGCTACAATGCTCGTAAAATTTATTCCTTAGCTGGCTATAACTACAACTCGCCAGAATTGATATTCAAATTACTCTCTCCCCCTCTGAAAGTGTTCTCTGGATATAAATTTCGCATATGGTACAGGCAGGATTTACTCAACTCTTCCGAAAGTAACAACGATGGCCAGACATGCGCTGATGTGTATGTGCTGATGAATTAATTCAACAGAAGCCGAATTGCTCCTAAAATGCCATGGCGTACCGATTGTGTTCTTAGGCAATGACGACAACATGCACTAAGACCAAAAAAAAAACATATATAGATATATATAAACACATATATAAATGTGGGGGTAGAGTCTACCTTGGCATAAAGTGCTCAATGCTGTGGTAGCAGAGCTGTGTATATATAAGTGAAAGAATCAAACAGGACGCATCGATGCTCTGTTACCCTGAGAACTCAGGGTAGCAGAGAATCGATGCGTACTCTTTGATTCTTTCACTTATATAAACACATATATAAATATTAAAAAAACCAATGAGCAAAAAAAAAATACAAACAAAAGCATCAAAAAGCACAAATTAAACAAACTGTAACAAAATCATAACAAAAACTAAAGATAAATAAGACATACACAAAACATAAGGAAAATGACAAGCATATAATGGTGTGCATGGATTTCTCTTCTGCGCAGTTTCTTGCATACTTGGAGACCCACAGCTCATGCTACCAGGTTGTATAGGTTAGTTGCAAAATTTTTATTTAAGGTCTATCTAAGGTTTATCATCACGTACTTTTTTATAAAATTCCATGATATTTACTTTGTTGTGATACATGTATGTCAATGTGATTTTCATTAAGTAACTTTAGGTCCACGATCATTCAAATGCACTCCTTAAAAAAAATCCGAGGGAAAAAATATGTATACACTAGAAATGAAATTATGGAAAAAAAAAAATTCATCCACTCCGATGCAAATGATCTAGTTTGCATATTTAGCGCAAATCGATTCCATTTTTCCGTGTCCCGTTAATTATAGATCGCGAATATGCATGAAGTAAACATATCTTCATTTATTAATATATGTATATATATATATATTTTTTTTTTTTTTAATTTGGTGGATCGCAAAAGAGCACACTTCAAATTAAACACTTCACGTTTAATAAAAGCTAAAGGTCTCATACATTTGCGAAAGGTTGCGAGAAAGGATGGGAAACGGTCTGGGTATCTGTTATTCTTTCAATTATTCTTCAAATGCTCCAAATCCCTCTCATTGTGTGTCTTGTGTTCCTGTATAAATGGGTCACAATGATGTACATATAGGAAGATCATTTATCAATTGTCAAAATATTTCTTCCGCATTTTAGTTACATAATTTTTCACATGTTTTCTTTAATTAATTACTCTTTATTGTTCTATATTTTTTAAAAACATTTTTTTCACTATTCTACTCTTCTATTCGTGAATAGAATCATTCATCTTACCGTGGTTTTCCCATTATTTGAAATGATAACTTAAGATTGCCTTAAAAGTTCGGTTTGTCTTTTTAAGCCATTAACATGTGCAATGATATCAATCATTTCCAGAAAGAAAGTGAAATCAAGTTTGTTCAAAAGTGTACATGAACCAATAACATTTGGGGGTCTTTCATATTAAGTAACTTTATCGTGCCACGATGAAAAAATTTGGTTTGCAGATAATGGCAACGGTGACCTATTAGACTATCTATTAATTTCACTTTGCACTTTGATCAAATTTTTTAAACATATTTTGCCTTCGGGTCAGCGATAACATAAATATTGCATTCACATACTGTCATTAGAAAACTTACAGAAAAAAAAATAAAGAAAGAATCTCGTATTGAAACGGTTCGTTTGAAAGTTTACGAAATATGAAGCCTTTAGGAAAAAGTATTACATTCGCATACTGTCATAAGAGAACTGACAGAAATAAAAAATGAAATATGACAGAGTTTCGTATTGACACGGTTCGTTTGAAATTTCACGACATATGATGCCTTTAGAATGGTAAAAACATAGTACAGTCACATACTGTCATTAGAAGACTGACTGAAACAATAAAATGAAATGAAACAGAGTTTCGTATTAATACTGTTTTGTGCTAAATTTCACGAAATATGATGCCTCTAAAATGGTGAAAAAAATAAATATTGCTTTCACGTACTGTCAATAGAAACTGACAGAAAAAATTTAAAAATATAACAGAGTTTCGTATTTATACGGTTTGTTCAAAGTCTTACGAAATATGATGTCTTCAGAATGAAAAAAAAACAAATATTGCATTCACATACTGTCAGGAGAAACTAACAGAAAAAAATGAGACATTTGCATGGAACAGAGAGAGCAATACTCATAAGGGATGTGTAAATATATTTCTTTATTTTAGATAGATCCTCCCAGGATTACATTGAAATACGAGCCTTGAATCAGAACATATTAATTTCAGATTCTACTTAAAACGCATTGGGGTATTCAAGAGAAGGATAAAACATCAAACCGTAACAATATGAGCATATTTGTAACTCAAAAGGAGAAGCTAATAGCCCCTAGTACATCTCTGTATTAGAAGAAATAGCACTAGTTGCGCGTTAACGAGTAGAGCGTAAAAATATATTAGGGAATATTGAAGAAAACAGGAAGAGATCTCAAGGGTTCGTCTATGTTTCGAGACACCTGAAGAAAATGGTACCAAGAAGAGTAGTTTTGGTGCATGCGTGTGATAAACCTCTGAACATTTCTAAGCCCTCTCATGCGAAAAACTAATGAAATTATGAAATTTTGCTAAGTCAGAAAGCGAGAACCTCGATGGCAAATTGTTACTGTTTTTATTTCGAAGTCAACGCTGCTTTTCCTGAGGTCTGCTTTTTTCATGCAGTTAAACAAGTCCAGCTACTCGCAAAATTGCTGTTTGGAATATATATTGTTTTCTTTACACAGAAAATTGCTTCTAAAAAAAGAAGCAACCTCCCACTTTCTAAGAAAGAATCTCCAACATGGCTAGAGTAGGATTCTGACGAAACGAGATCGAAGATTGGTATTGATTAAAATCCTGATATCTATTTGATAAAATCCTTACGAAATGCTTAAGATACGTAAGCCATCTTATCATGTCTCTTTTACGTTCTGGTGGCAGCCGTTGTTTGGAGTTCTTCTATGCTCTCGTTTCTACGCAACAGAAATCTTTTAATGCCGGCTCGAAATTGTCTGTTGATACCACTGTAAATAAGAGGGTTGAAGAGCGAATTACAGTATCGAAGAAAGAGAATAACATGATTAATAACTGTAAATGTCTTCGTTACCTGTAAAGACGTGTACGTGTAAACAAGATAAAAAAACAAACAGCGGGCACCAGCAGAGAAAGTGGGTGCCCATTATGATGGTCAAAGTCTTTGCTCCTTTAAGTTCCCGCTTCAATCTTCGTTTGGAGTGTCCCGATCCCTCGGGATCACATTGCGTCGATTGAGAGTTAATTCTTCGCGCGTGCGAGCGAGCAACGATGAACATGTTCCAGTAAGCAAACGTCATCACACAAACTGGGCTAATGAAACTCGCTATCGTGATAAAGGTCACGTACCCGCGGCTTAAGAAAAAACACTGCAGCAGATTTTTGCTATTGTTGGAATTTTTGACCAAAGATAGGAAGGCGGTGCAAGAGACAATCGCTGAGTAAGTCCAGATAAAAACCATGCCAAAAATGGCCTTACGCTGAGTGACTATCGAATGGTAATGCAAGGAATATTTCACGGCCACGTAACGTTCCAGGCTAATCATGACAAGGCACAAAATGGACGCCGTACCGCACGCAATGTCCAGAACGATCTGGGAACGACAGAGTATGATGTTTTCCGGGGCTAACTGACTTGCAACAAATAAGGGGATCAGAACAGCAGCGATTACAACGTCCACGACAGCCAGGTTGATGACAAAGTAATGTCTTATTAATCGGAGCTGACTGTACAAGTAGAACACAACACACACCAACGTATTCGTCCCGATAGACACGGATGCAATCAGAAGGAGAGGTATGATCAAGGACAGAACAGGAGTCTCTTCCGTTGGCCAACAAAGATCTACGAAGGACTTCCAACACCCACGATTGAAATCGGGCTCTGAAATATTATTCTCATTATCAATTTTAGCGCACTTGTTGTAAGAAATGTTACATTCGAGGCTGACGTCTAGATCCATTTTTTCCCACTTGATTTGTCTTACCAAGAGAGAAGCGGAAAATTTTCTCCGAGCATTTCACACACTTTGAAGTGTAACACGAGACGCAAATGGCGCATTGTGAAGTTCTTCGGACGTGCAGGGCCTTAAACACGGTTATCGAACAGGAAATAAACAGAAATAATTAATGGAAGACTAAGTGTATTTGATCAGCTGATTGATTGCGGGAGGAAGGCTTTCGCGAGACAAGTAGTATTTCGGTAACCTGTCAAATTCAAAGCCCATATGTCAAATTCTGAGACTTTGTATCCGAAATGCTACAAATTAAACCAAAAGGTAGAAAAAGATATATCAAAATTTACTTGTACTTTGTCGACTGTCTCTTAGTTGACTTAGATGAGCTTTACTGACAATAAATTCAAGGCGTCATGTGTTTCCTCTGCTAGCTGTCCCTTTAACACTCGCCTAGTCAAAAACAGGAATAATTTCGCTCCGAATTATGTATTTAACATCTGCACGGTTTGGAAAGCTATCAATTACCGAAAAGTACGGTTGCTGTTTCACTTTTTAAGTTTTGACGACAAATCTTCCATTATTTCAAAAGAAATTTGAGAATACAAACTTAAAATTGGAATATTACGATTTCTCCAAGATATAAAGCAATTTCGTTTGATATATTTGTTTATGTTATGGTTTTTTTCTGGTTAAGCAAATAGTTCACTTTTCTAGACCTTTTGCGCTTTCACTTTTGAATTGTTTAACGCATGTGTCGCAAACATTTCGCACACACTGACGGTGAAAATAAATTAAAACCTTCATTGTCAGTTGTCAAACCTCACTATTCGAGCTCGAGACAACCAAACTAACGTTTGTTATTCATTTGAAGGAACTATTTGTTCTTCAAAGTGCTAATATGGCATACTCGCTTTGAAAACGCCGAAATCATCCGAAATTACTCACGGGGTTTGAATAAACGATCTATGTTACAGGAAGTATGAAATAATATTAAAATTTCATGATCGGCAATATCAACAAAAAAGTCAGAAAATCCAAAGGTACACGCATCTTCGCCGATTACAAATCTGGCGTCCTTTGAAAGCCTTAAATGATTACCCTTTATCAATTCCCGCGAATTTGGCGCCAAGTTAAGCTTGTACTTTCTTCCGTATTAAATTCATTTTCTTTTATTGGCAAAGAAGCAAAATCGCGGTACTGGAATAAGACGAATAATAAGTTACAATTGTCTCCATATACTAACACGAGGAGTCGCCTCATTCACTTTTGTTTGCTTAGTTTGTATAGTCATCGGCAAAATTTGCTTCAAAAGGGTATCTCGTGTTGGTCTCCGTGCATTTAATGATGATATTGTGCTGTTACCTAGTAATGGATTGCGGGCTCAGATGAAGTAAAAGTAAGAAAATCTTTATACCTCATGGCACTAAATAATAATAATAATGCTAATAATAACAATTACAAAAAAGTTTAAACATTAGGTTCAACGTCTTCTCACACGAAACAAAACAGGAATATTTTTTGTTAATGTAGATAGCAACTGTTGTCATCAGAACACGTAAACATAGTCTCACATTTCAAGGGCATACTTAGTTTCTCCAAAATCATTAACTCACTCAAGAAGAAAGATAGCAAACGCTAAAAGCATTTTTGTTTTCGTTAAATGCACTTCAAGCGATAAAGGTTTTTTCATCCCCTTATGTCGGGCTTCCTGGGTCACGCAACTATGGTACTCCCTGGAACATTATCAAAACGTTTAGAGACAAAAATCGCACAGCGAAAAGGAAACAAATGGACGAAAAAACACTAAGCATGAAAAGAATCGACTTCGCTTAAGCTTTAGTCGTAATATCAACCTACCCTTTCCAAGACCTTGGCAATTTATCTAGTTAACAGGTGCATAAATAACCTTGAGATGATTGAATAGGATGAGGATTGAACTTCATCAATTCAAACAAACAGCACCAGTTGTTTTTATAGCTCGAGCGCAAAAGCAGGGATTCTACCCTTAGCTACTTTGCCGATTGTAAACTAAAATAAAACACACTCCTCTCCATTGGAAAATTGCATTTCTATCTGTGTATTCCGTCGGCTGCAAATTTTTACTAATTTTTAGAAGAAGGACTTCAATAAACAAAATTATCTAAAGTTCTCAAAAGCTCCAGGTATTTATTAATGATTCAAGGATTAGCAGGAGGGGAAGATATGAGATGGTTCACTTATTACGTTTGTTCATCTGGGTTCTGCAGGCAAGATGTTCGATATCACGGGCTTGGGTGCCATAACTGCGGATAGCAAACTGTTGCAAATAACATTGTTTTTACAGTGCTCTCAAAGGTATCTCCGAGAGAAATTGTTGGTACAACTAGCAAAATCTACGTCCGTGACATATTCCTGTGACAACGTCTTGTGCTTGAGGTTTTCGCACATGAGCATTCTTCTTTCTAACGCGTTACACAACCCCTAGAGAAGGCCTCTATAATCGTACCTACTACGACTTTCTCCTCCGCAGAGTTCTCCTGAAGATATACGCTGGACACCATGACTGTAGATGCAAACCAATGCAACAGCATCATCTGCGTTCAGCGGGCATATGGCGGAAGCGCTCAACTAAGGCTCATCATTAGATAATATCGTGAGAACGAAGTAGAGACGCACAATATCTTGTGAAAAAGGTTCCTGTACATTTTATTTTCCCCTTTACATTTAACAGCGTTGCTTTCTATTGAATTTTATTTCGCCAGCGCAGTTCAGCAACTTAAGTGTGCTGTTATTAGGAACCTATTTTCTGGTAACAAAGAGCAGCAGCTAGGTGAATTTAAACAATGTAAAACATAGCTAATTATTTCAAATTATGATTAATGAAACATTTCGAATTCAACCTTATTTAGGAAAAATAATTACCCGACAAAAAATTTCAAAAGTTACCCTAAATTTAAAACAATTATATGCCAACGCAAATTTTATTTAAAAGCAATTTTTATATTTTACAATTAAAAATTCAACCTTTTGGAATCATTTCCTAAAATCTATAAAAGCTCGCTGTTAAAGCCACTAAATTCTTATGTCCACCATTTACATTGTACAATATCAGTTATTATCATACAAGGAGGCAAAATAAAATCGACTGCAGCAATTAAATAGCTATCCAATGTTTCAACGAATCATCTTAACTATGGTCAAGCTGTTGCATGAGGGTAAAAATTAAATTTCTGTACAAACAAAAACGATAGACTGTAGCGATTGAAAAACATTGTATTTGCAATATGCTATTTTCATGATAAAATTACCCTGAATGTGCAAATTATTGTTGTTAAAATTTGAGTATCAATTCAAGATCTTATAATTTGTGGTCTTTCGTCAGAGCCTTTTGGAATGAATATTATGAAAATTCTATCAATTAAAATATGCCCATTAAAAGCTACGCTTGACATCATAATTCAATAATTCGAGTGCGGCATTTCTTTCTTGTTTGTTTTTTATTACTATTCGATTCACTGTCTGAGCTCTGTCGGGGCTTGGGGTTTAGCCGCGGTGACCGTGAGCGAACCTGCTGAGAAAACGACGACAACTTGTTCCGCAGCTCAGGAATTAGAGTCCGCCCTCGCGCCTGCGCAGTGGCGAATATGTTCATTTTCGGAACGCGGTTTCCAACTGAAATATTCCGAAACCGAGCCCCGATGCGCCTTCGTTCCGGGCTCTTTTCGCCATTACCCTCTCCTTCGGTGGACGCCATCCTTCCCAACTCCACGCTGGAGTGGCTATGGCCGAATTTTAACTGTGACCCCGAGCCGTGGTAGCTGACTTGGAGTCCTTCAATGTTAGCTTCGCACCCTTCCGCTTGGACCTCTCCATTAGCCTGTTTTAACTCAGTCACATTTTCTCGCCCAATGACGCTTTTCTTGGAGCTGTTGACATGTTCTACAAAGTCTTCTCCCTTATCTTCAGATTCATTTGTTAGTTTACTTGGCTCATTTTGAATCAATTGGTTCTTGCTACTCGCTATTTCCTTTGTTCTCGGTCCAAGTGATTCATATTCCTTCTCCTGCAAAGGATGACTTCCTTCACTTATCACTGCTGATGCATTAGCATCGTCATTCTCTTCATCATTGGCCTGTGATACATAACCGTTCGTAATTTCACCTTGTTCAATTGGATCAAGCTGATCTTTTATACCGATTATTTCCTCCCTTTCTAAACCAGTCAAATCATTTCCTTTCACATCTGTCAGGTGAAACCCCTCACTTTTCGCTCCTCCCTCGACGATACCGTCAAATCCTGCTAAAGGATTCTCTGTGAAGACGCTTCCTCCTTCCTCACCTTGACTAGTTGGCCTTACAGCTCTCTGCGCTTCTTCTTCTTCTACTTCTTCTATCTCATCTTCTTCTTCTTCGTTCTTTGTGTCGTCACCAACAACAAACGTGGCTTCCGTTAATGATTTGTCTTCATTGTTCAAGACCTCTGTTTCACATCTTTCCCCTTTAGCCGATGAGTCTTCGTCTTCATTTTCTGTTTGGTGACTTCCGTTTTCACTCGTCGGCGATATCGTCGCTTCACTTTCAGCGACCTCACTTTTGATTTTCGGGTCAGCAACTTCCTTCTGAGAGGAACCGTCAGCCTGTAAGTAAAAGAGTTAAATTACTATGCTTTGTTTTATTTCCCTTTTTTCTTTTGGTTTTGCTACGACATATTTGGTTAATCATGCATCAAGAGCGTACACGCCAGTATTTCTAATTTTTCAGTTTGTTTTCATCGCTTGAAAGCAGGAGATAAAGTTACAGTCGGAATACATTTTGGCCTTACCGAGATACAACATTGTGTAAGATTGGAATGATTAAAATGATAAAAGTAGTCTGTTACCTGGTTATCTAGGATTAAAAAAAAAAACGGGATAGGGAGAAAGAACTTCGCTGCCAGACCTCAGGCATGAAACTTTTAACACCATGCAGAGTAGATTACCATTTAAGATAATATTTTTGTCCTCCCATTGGCTGGCGTGTTTTTTGAGAATTTAGAACAAGACTGACCTCTGGGTCATAATAATCCATAGGGTCAGTTTCTCCAGACGTTTTATCGTCGTCCTCACTCCCCGAGCCGCTGGAACAGCTCTGCGGTGCACTGGCACTAGAAATGTTAAACTCTTCCTCGTCATTTAGTCCTCTCTTGGCAAGGCACGAGTCCGAGAAAGATGTAGGTAAACTTCCAAGTCTGGTACGGCGAAAGGAAGCGAGGGAAAAGTCGTCTTTACTGTCATGAACAAATGATTTACTTCTCGGCTTGATGTATGGTTTGGACCAGGTACTTAAGCGAGACTTGGACGAAATTTGAATCACACCGGGTGCAATCTTGGTCTTCTTCCTGAATATCGACAAAAATAGTCAAGAACAAACGAAGACACGAAATAGACCCAACTGGACTGGTGTTCCGAAGTTTGGGCACGCAAAGGCGATGAGCTTCAACTTCGAAAGGTTTGAGTCACCGAACGTGGAACACGAAATGCAAGATGAGAGCGAACGTGAAATGGATTTTTCACATATAGGCTCGAACGAGATCACTGGAAATGACTCACCTGTCTAATCGACATTCAGTAACTTTTAATCCCAGATCTAACGATGCTCGTGCCGCGGCAAATGCGTCCGCAATACTAAGTAAAACACCTGAACGAAAAAAAAACAGGTATAATCACTCGCGTAAATACAGATGTAGACTGTTTCGAGTCTGATTTGTTTGATGTGCCCTCAAGGCAAAGACTTGGATAGTCTCTTTCGCAGCCGTTTATTGGTTTTTGTACGTCATACGCCAGGGAGAAAGCGTCTAACTTGACATGACGAGCAGGAACAGAAGAGATGGACCGAAAGGGGGGAGGGGGGGGGGGCTGCGGGGGCTGTAGCAAACGCATGTGTTCGCTTTCCCTTAGCTAACATGTTTGTACGGCCGCAAGCGAGCGTTACGGTCAAGGGTATTGTCATTAACAGGGGAAACGGAGTCATCTTTAAATGCGACAGCAAAGTAGAAATCCATGTTTTCTACATTTTAAACACCTCACTTACTTCTGGCGTCTTCCGCCGTACGGTGCTGTATGGTCCGAAGAGTATGAAAGTAACCTGAAGTACCCTGATGCCGCCGATGTATTCGAATGAAAAGGTGTTTAGACTTGACAGCTGCCTCGAACCCTATAAAATAATGATTGTAAGCTAACGGAGTGGCCGTGAAGCGTAATTTTATAAGATGAACAAAGCCTAAAGCGGAAGCCCCTCTGATGTAAAGAAAATTCTGGTCTTACATTTATGACAGTCATGGTACTTTTTCAGGCAGGTGTTGCGGAGCAGCGCCCACGAGGCAAGGGTTCTCAGATGTTCTTATCGGTACTTAACTTTATGTAACGTTAGCTTAAAATCTTTAGCTTTAGAGTGATCTTAGCATACACAGATACATTGTCTTTAAACAATTGCTTTATGTGTCAAATAAGAGTACTGTTTGTACCAAGCTCAAAATAGTCGACATGAACCTCTTCCCTCATTTAACGTTTCCTGTTTGAAGCTAAAAGATGACAGAAGACACCAAATTTTTGAGGGGGAGGGGGTGAATAGGCTACCTTACCAAGGAAAACAGAGATGAAAAAGGAAGTAATAGGGAGTGGAAAAAGGTTAATGTGTCACAAATTTTGTCGCCGATTGTAAGTTCGCGAATGGGTAAATTCCTCACCAATCTCGATCTTTTCTAAGTCTTCAAGGACAATCCGTTCATACTGGGTTATTCTCTCGGCTTCATCGTCATAGCTGCAAATTGAAAAAAAGATAAATGAAGAATTACTTCCTTCAGAACGTGTCATTCCTCTAAGACAATCAATCGAACAGCAAAAACTGCGCTTACCTAGCAACGTAATAGGCGTGGCAAGTAAGTAAAAGAACGACGTCCTGATCTTGCGTGACTTCACTATCCGTGCTAAAACCGACAAAAAGGGAATACTTAGTTTGCTCAAAAATCTTAAAAAAGAGTTAAATAGACAAACATTTTCCATATATATATATATTTATGTAAACTCCTATTACTAACAAGAGAGACTGACTGACAAGCAGCTTAGCTGTAAATGGTGATGAGAATAGACATGTTGTCAGCTAGAGGATGAAAAGGAGAAAGAAGAGGCAAAAACAAACAAACAGACAAACAAACCGAGTGACCAAGTCTGGATAAGCTTTACCTTTACATTTGCGTTTTAAAGAAAGTGGTCCAAATTTTTACATCAAGTACACAACGAGGCACCTCAAAACCGAACACAATCCACGATTATTTTCGAGTCTCAAATCAAAATTGCTCCAGGGTCGACGCTTTTATCAGTCACCGTAGTTTGCCATTCACCTGTTGAAGGGATCAACTAACGCCCAACCAGATATACACTCCTCTTCATCAGTCAGAAGTAACTGGTTACAGTGCTGTATCAGCTGTGCAACACACTCCTCTCTCTCCATTGTCCACTGCTCTTCCTCAGGTCCTTTGTTCATGGCCGCTATCAAAGCTGCTATGTCCTCTGTGACTGGGTTTCCAAGCATTACATCTAAATGAGGATTAGAATAAAAAAATGATTTATAAAATTAAAAAAAAAAAGTTAATATAAAGGAAAAGGCGGAATTTTAATTCTACAAGTACTCAGCTCTAAACTCAAAACATGCCAGCGCTCCTCGGCGGAGATCGAGAAGAAACATAACTTTTTTAATCCATGCTGGCAAGTGTTGATCAGTTTTCCACCTACTTTTAACATTAACTCTGCAAGAGGAACTCCCATAAACAATCTAGACTCCACAAGAAAGCAGATGTCATGACAGCGTAACACGATGTCCCTTTGGATGCTGTTATGAGTTATGGATGCTCTCTAAATATTGATGAGTGAGTTACAATACGTACCAATTAAGGTCTGCCTATAAGCAGCCTTAAATCTGTTCAGGTAGTATCTAAAGGGAAAAACAGACACATTTGAATCGCAATTCTGTAAGTACACTAAAAATTGCGCAAACCCGATCATTCCTTCCAGTCATATTGTAAGCTAACGATATATATAATAATCTAGTTAAGCAAACCTGTTGGCAGAGTTGTATCCATCTTTCATTACACCAGTAAACCTTCTCTCGCCTGTCCTTGTGAAGTCTCCCTAGAGGTATGGAAAAAAAGATGGGGTGTCCTTACTCTGCACCATAGTTAAGGGAGCTTCAATGGTCGTGGCTTGTTGATATAAACCTTTTAAAGGTTAACTATTCAAACTAAGTATAGCCGTTGTTTCACAAAACCCTGTCCCAAGCCATCTTCAATTTAGCCGAATCTTTGGTCTGAAGATTTATTAAAGCGAATTGTGTAAGGACTTGTATTTAATTATATCAACCGTCTTATGGAGAATCCCTGATGCCCACTGTTTGCGTAAAACCGCGGTTTGGGTGAGACCCCGCGTAAATAAGCGGCCCTTTAAGTGTGGCATATCCAATCAGTTGCAATTTCATGTTCTCCATTCTTCCTTACTCATTCGTATTTGGTTTGTATTTCTTAATTTTTGGCGTGCAAAACATGCATCTTGTGTCTTCCCCAACAAGAACGGTTTTTGCCGGTTGTACCAATAAAAGCAAAAAACAAGCAAACAATCAAACAAACAAAAACAAACAGTATACCTTCATTGCCGCAGTGCCAGCGTATTGTCGACTGATTGCATCTCCATTACTGGCCCACATCTCCTGAAAAGCCGTCCTTATAGAAGAGGGAAGGATTTGGTCTGGAAGCTGTTTGCCCAACTTTTTCAGCTGAGTTGAAAAGAAATATGTTCACTACAAACGGCCGAACAGGCCAACAAACAAACGGAAGAACGAAAAAATGAACAAACAACGACAAAGGGACTGAGGGACAGAGGGACGGGGTAACGTCCGAAAGGGTGAAGAGACAAGATGACGGGCGAACGGATACATGAACGGACAGACAGGTAACAGACGGACGAACCAAGGGGGAGAGACGAGGAACGAAGAAACGAAGGACCAAGAGGACTGAGGAAAGGAGGGAAGAAGGAAGGAACGAAGTATTATTGGAAAGGAAGGAATTGAATTATTATTGAACGAAGAAAAGAAGTATTATTGTTCAGTTAGAATAGGTTACCCCACATCTCTTAACAATCTCGTTTCCTAGAGGCTAGCGTTTCCTTTATTTTACAACACCAGCCATTTCCAAAGTACTAAATCTAGCCACACCTGTACACCTGTTTTACCACTTACCTGTTGTTCCATTATATACCGTGCTAGAGCTGCTTGCACAACATTCGTCCGGTCGAGACAATCCATACAGTTGACACGAAACACACCTCTCTGGTCACAGATGATTCCCTTATCATCAGTCCTTCCAAACAAGAGCAAAGAATCTTCAAAAAACATACCATGGAGGAAATAAACTGCTTTTACCCGAAGTAAACAGATAAATTTGTCAATAATGACATCAATTCAACGTGCATGGGCGGAGAGAGGAACGGTAAAGATACTTCTTCGGTTTTTCACCAGTAAGTTACTTTATCATTCCCTGTTTACTATTGGCCCAAGACACACAACGACAGAAATGGACTTGCATGGGTTTCTTCTTCTCCCTAAGTACACTAGGGCCATCGTGTATATAACTGAAATTCAACCACAGGCCTCGAGATCCCAGATTAATTCAAGTATGTCCGCTTGGTTAATGGCATCGGGTTTGAAATATGAAGGTCTTGGACTTTCTGCCACTCAATTGGATCTGTGTCTCGAACACTCCAAGAAAAACCCTTCTACTGCGCGTCGCAAAATTTATGGCCCCCTGATTTGCCTTCCACCAATAGAGATTTTCTAATATATTAATCAACATTCTTGTAAGTGAATTTGCCTCGGTATACATAGTGTTCCAACTGGGCACAGGAGCACTCATATATCAACTATGAAAAAAGCTTAAAATTCTTCGAGAATTAATGAAGACGTTATGAAAAAACCGTTTGCCATACCAGCAGTATCTCACTTCCTTGATAACTTCTAGAATGCTCTCCACCAAAACTGACACGTTCTCAAATTTCATCCCACGACTGCGATAAAAAGCAGAAAGGCATTTTAAGTTAACTTCAACAGAATTTTTGTCAAATTCAATCATCACTGTGGCACGAATCTTGAAGGATAGTTCGGAACGCCCTTGGCAGTAAACTCTAGTTATCACCTTGTTGAGACGGGAGTAAGAGTCATCTGATTTCTGGAGTATCTTTCCCCGTGAGGAAATTTTGTTCTTTACAAAAGAAATGAAGGAATTAAGTGCAAAATAACTTACCAATACTCATGAAAATCAAAAGTAATGTAGGTGAGGAAAGGACTGTTGTAGGCGAAGATGTTGTCCATGAAGACATCACTTATTATCTGGTGAAAGCATTGAGATAATTTAAGTTACACAGCAAACCTCTCGCAATAACGTGTGACACAGAAAAAATAAATTAAGGGCTTCTTTTACTAAGTACAAACAACATATTATTTGTCTTCAAATGGAAAAAAGCAGTAAATGTCGAAAGAAACTGTTGTGCCGCTTCTGTGGGTGTATTACAAGATAATTCGGTTTTAACAATTGAGTTGATAATGTAAATTAGCCACCGTAGAGAGTTTCTAAAGCTGACGGTTTGAGCGTTAGCCCTTCTTCAGAGGATTTCACTTAATTTAAAACTGGGCGGAATCTAATTCCTCTGCAATTCATAATTTTTTCTTCAGTACGAGTTATTTATTCTTCAATTCAACAATTTAATATGTTTATCAGAGTAAGTACCTATTCATTTAATCAAAGCGTGATTTACAATCACTCTCTCTTACCTTTTCCCTTCCTGATTGATCCACTAAATTTATAACCGCCTGATAGGAAATAGCACATAATTGATAACAGCACGATAACTCACAAGCAATACAAAACACATGCAGCATACGAGGCGTCGCTTTCTTTTCTATGTTATTTAGGTTAGCGGAGACCATGGCCAGGCAAGCGAGAGGGGCAAGACAAGACTACTTTCTTTGAGCTTTCGCTTGCCTTTGATTGTCGGGGAAATGCGAAATAGAGAACGACACCTGTTCCACAGGCTACGGACCAAATAAGAGGTCATCTAAAGTGTTTCGGTCTGTTTAAAAGTGAACCAGAAAATTGTTGTTGAGATACAAAGCTCTACTTACCACACTCTTATAAAGTTCCAATTGATGATCAAAATGCTTTCTAAAGGCGAACTGAGTCTCCACTTCATCTGCGTGGTAGAAGGATGTCCATATATTAAACAAACGAAAAAACGAAACAAAAGACTACTGTGTTGACAGCTATGGTCAGGGCATGGTGTTGTGTACAAATTTTAATCGAAGAGGCCGCCTAAAAAGGTTTCAATAAAGAGAGAGTAGTTGACGTTTTATTGTAATGTCCCTTAAGAAGTCAAATAATAAATTAAAATTTTCACACGAGTCCCAAGTAGAGTCGAGACATTTTTATTTCAATCACTTGTGGGAACAATTTTGCCACCAAAACGCCGATTTGGAAACATTTTAACAACACAGCGAAAAACAGTCCCGTTTTAAAGGTTTTTCTTTACTTGAAACATATCCCTGCTCGAAACCGGATAAATGATGGAAGTCTCGTTAGAAGCACTACACTCTGCTACGATTAGTTCACCTCATTATTCTATGAAGACTACAAGTGTACACCCGAAGCGTTTCAATTGACACCGGAAGTGACTGCACCCTGACGAAAATAACTTCATAATTTTTTTTTCCAATTCTACGCGTGTACATGCCCGTCTCGAGTGTCTTTGCGATTCAACACCATAAGTTTCTCCTGTTTACCTCTGTCTAGTCTTGGTGGTGGTCGGTATTTGTAACCCGGTTGACTCCAGTACACGGGTACAGAGCCCCTCACTTGTGCAAATGATACATTGTGGGTTGAAGTGCAAATTATCTGTAGAACAAAAACGCTACGTCAGAAAAAAAAAAAAAAAAGAAAAAAAAAAAACAATAACATTCTAAGACTGTGAAGAGCTAGAAAATATACATTTGACAAAGCTATGTAATCGACACAGTTGGACAACGTGACGGGCCGATAAGCGTATAATTCTCAAACCTGTTCTGTTTCGACAAAATTTGCAACATCTCCATTATCATCCACACCACGTCTCCTGTAACGAGTCCCTGGAACGAAAAAAAAGCGCAGAAGTAGAATCAGTGACAAAAGTGGTTTGCACTCAAAGCAATTTTCACTTGACTGTCGGAAGTACTCTGGGATTGCTTTGGTTCCACCTTAAATCACTAAGTGATAGAACTCTTCCACTTACAAGATCTGAGGTTAATTCTCCCAACTGATACAGGGTAATTTAGAATCGTAAACTGAGCTAATAACGACACAGGGTAATTTAGTATCATCAACTGAGTTGATAACGTAAATTGGTCATCGTAAAGAGTTTCAAAGCTGACACATTACTAATCGCCCAGTCTTGAGAATTTCGTCTTTTATCATTAGGAAAGGGTTAACACACTTAAATTACATGTTCAAAATTAATGCCGGGAACATGGCAGTTGGACAGTGTTCTAATATATGTGTTTCATATTTACCAGGTATATCATCTAACTTTACTTAATACTTTTGCACAAAAATGATTAATAACCACTTTGGGAAATTATTGAAGTTTGACTCAAGCCAATCACGTCCACAGTCTTTAATCTTGGCAACGGAGATTAACACTTTGTGTACTCTTGTTGTTGCTTTTTCGGAGTCGAGTCTTTGGGGTTTTTTTTTTTATATTGCGGAGTCGGACTCTAGCCTCCCCTTCGTAAAATGATTTTTCAGAGGTAAACGAGGAGATACATTTAAAGGAACACGTAAATTGAAACTGGTGACCTCGGTGATTCTCACGAGGTAAATTGTTGTCATCTAGTCATAACGACACGACACTTGTCTCTTGAGACGAGACTCTTGTCTCACAACAAACAACAAGACGAATCATTCTCTTTGGAGTGTAACAGCGTGCACATCTCAAATGCACAAAGGTGTACATACATGTACATGCTAATGTGATATTGATATGTTACTGATATGTGTATGCTGCTCACAGCTAACATAGCTATGCATACAAGACCTTACCAGCTCGATGAATACTCCTCCTGGATATCAGTACCAGCTGGAACTCCTCTGGCGGGAAAGGCGCTGTTTTCTTCTCGTCATTTTCATCAGCATCCTCATCTTGGAAGGTGTTTATACAGTGCTCTATCTTACAGTAGCCTTGGATTATTGGGGTCGCCCACTTACTGGCAAGAGGATCCTGTACAAAAAGAGAAGAACATTCCATCAGTGAAAAGCCGACGTCAGTGAATAACGCCTTCACTACAGACCTTATCTCAAGTTTCTCTCATCATCAATAGATGCACTAAGAATACTGTAATCAGTTATGCAAAGATGGATGTGTAATTCAAAAGATAAACACAGCTTTTAGTTATGATGGCAGCCCTGAGAGCAGTGTGGCTTATTAGAGATGTACAACAAAGGCTTCTGTCTCACTGATGCATGCCCAATCAAGAATGAATGTCTGAGATATAGCAAACATAATAGTTATACCACACATGTGCCATAAAACAAATAAATAAATGAATAAATAAATACAAAATAGGTAAAACAAACTACATTGCCTCTACACACTGTTACTCACCTCACTGGTCAAAAGTTCTTTTACCATAAAGTGGTTCCAGAAAAACCTCTTGTCAAACTGAATATTAACAAAATATACATTAAAAAAAAAAAAAGATACAAAAAAATCATCTCCCATATAAAAATCACTAATGATAGCAAAATTAAACAAATGTAATGGATGCAGTCACTCAGCTAAGGACTTTACAGTTTAGGAATACACTAAACTTATGCTGTTTATTCATTATCAATCAATTCAAAAAGAGCTTTCTTCATGCACTTACATGAAAACATTGATGAGTGTACATGGAGTATAGGTAAAAATGAGGCAGAGGGCCAAAAAAACTGGCCTCCTACTTGAGAAAAATGGTCCACACAATTTGCATTCAGGATGAGAGATAAAAGCAAGAGAATGGTGTACTGTATCTAAAGAATGAGCCACACACTGTTAACTGCACCTTGTGTGAATCAAATATAAACTGCAGGTCATGCCATCAACATTTAGTCTGAGAACTTCAGGTACTGTAGCAGCACCAGAATTCTCTGATATGTACATGCTCAAAGAACACCATGTTTTGCAGTTATAACCAATCCATTTATAAATTTAGCACGTATAGGGGTGCATGTACAGGAGTGTACATTGCTTACCCTCTTCCAAACTGGATCAGCCGCATTGTACTTTCCACTGAACTGTCTCTGTAAGGTGTTGGTCAGGTCCCCAGTTGGTGAGTAAAAGAAGGAGTCAGAGTCATTGAACATCTTCTGCAGCTCCTGGACGACAAGAAAATTATTTCATTTAATTGACATGTAACAGCAACACTGTGTAAAAATTTCCATGAAACCAAGTGGAGTGCATTAAATTGTACAGCCGCACCACGCCAATTGTTCACCCAACTAATTTGACAAGAAAGGAAAAAAAAAAAGGACCAAACTGACCCTAATAATGATGAAAAACAATTTTATCTTAACAAAAGCAAACTCAATAAAAGATACCCGAGGGAAAGTATGTCTACAATGTTACATATTATTCTTTAAAGTGCCTCCACGTATTTAAGCACACATCAGTATTTTAACCCTTGTTCATAACCCCTTCTGACAACCAGTGATAGACAAAATTGGATAACCAAGAAGCAAGAATCAATTTTGTTTACCAGGTGAGTGATTGCAGACAGAATTTGATAACAGAAAGTCATGTAACCAGTTGATCAACACATCAAACCCACAAATTAAACTTATCGCCACCAATCACTTTTGCTTGTCAAGAAAATATACTCAAAACTCTTAGACACTGCACTGTCCTTAAGGCTAGCTTTAATACACTCACTATCCCGTTGGCACCCAAATTTGGCTGCTGATGACCAGCCACATTCAAGAATTTTGCTATGCATGGTTTGAGTTAAAAATAATGCATCATTGTGTAACTATTGTATACAATGCAGTGTAATCCAAATAAATATAATATAATCATTAATGTTGTCTGTCCCACGTGTTGTTTCTAAGATGTACCAGCAAAACTTAACTGCACTTCACACTTCACAAGTTTGCACATTAATTTTTTTTCAACTATCATTCCATTGTCAAGTCTATCACTTTGTCAGCTATGCTGTACTTTGCTCTGCTTTTTGTTTTAATTTGTTAGTTGTTCTTTTAAAAGATATTCAGTTTATTATGCACTTTTATTTCAGCAGCAACTGAATGCATATACAATTGGAGAATAACCTAATAATGACTCCTCACAACAATTGCTTACCTCAACAAATCTTCTTTCTAACTTCTCTTTGTCTTTCAAGTCCCTGTCTTTGATGTTCTGTAAATAAAATTTGACAGACAACTAATCATAAGAAATATGCACATGTTCATGTATTGAGTTATCTATAAGTGAAAAGTCTATCTTAGGTTACAATTGTACTGTACATGTATGTTACGAGTCAGGCTCAAATTGTTTCATTTTTTAAATTTTTCACATCATTGTGAGTTTTATTTCTTTTTGCCTAGCATATATTTTTTTAAATTTTATATCAAACCCTTAAGCACACAGAGATAAAAAAAAATAATTAAGAATGAAAAATATTTACACCCAAACAGAAAAAAAAAATTGAAATGCACTGTACAGCTCACATCATACTTCATCAAATCATGTGACTAAGCCAGCGTGAGAGCCTATAAACACCTTAGCTGAGTTGTTAAAACAAGATTACCCCTTTAACCCTCAAGAGTGACCAAGACAGAATTTCTCCTTACAATATCAGTAAAATATCAACCAGATAAGTGATGAGAATAAAGAAAATATAAATTTGAGGATAATTACGGTGTAGTTGATCCAATACTAAATTCCCGGAGCTAATATTGTAAGGATTGTATGGCTGACACTAAGGAGAATTAAAATTTTGATCTGGGAGTTAAAGGGTGCTATCTGATTTCAGATCTGAAAGCTTTAAAAGAAAATTCAGTCAAATTCTTTTTGTCTAGAATATGATTATTGGATGCTCCTAAAAGAATGCAAAAATTTTCCTAAAAAGGCTTTTAAATGAAGGAATACAGAAAATACAGTACATGTATATTCTTTTCTTCATTTATTTACCAGACCTGTTATAATCTAAATGCATTTATTCATTTTTTTGTTAACTTTGAAAAAACATTTGACCACACAGCCTTTTTACCTTTTCTTTCAAAGTTGAAGCTGCAGTTTTCAGTTTGTTCCATGTTTGTCCCAGTCCTTTTTCTGTTCCTGCCAGTCCTCCTCCAACACCTATTATTTTCCGCGCCCGGCCACCACTTTGATGTTGTTCACAAGGCTACAATAACATAGAATAAAGAACTGTAATAAATAAAAGATTCCTTAATGTACTTACATAATGTGCAAGAAGCAAGATTACACAAACATAATGTACAAAAATCAACATGAAACTTTACCAACTAAAGCTTGAGAATACAAAGTACATGTAGTTGCTAATTGACTGGCAATATTCAATCATTTTATTAAAGATGTCTGTCTGTTTGCTTGTTTTTTTGTTTTTTGTTTGTCATTTAGGGGTAGTTATTATCTTGCCAAGCATCACAGTAAAATTTACAATTCTGCAATTGCAGTCTTTTATAAATGCACAGATGTATGATAATTTTACTAATGTACACTTTTACCAAAACATTTTTCAGTTGAACACATCCTTTATTTTTGTACCATTAAAAAGCGAGGTCAACCAATATTAATCCTTCACACCCTAACATCGGAATTCATATTCTCCATACTGTTCTCTCTATATTTACTAAGGAACTGACAAGGAGAATTTGTCTAACAATCAAGAGTTTCTTTGGTTGATGATCATTTCCTTTATTCTCATGACAATGCATGATTCAGTGGTGATATAATTTGTAAGGAGAAATTAGATACAAGTCATTTTTACAGGTTAAAGGTTCAAGTCTCCAAACTGTTTTCTAAACATTTCCTTAGTTGTTGACAAGAAGAATCTATTAATCAATTAAGAGGTATTTTAGACAGAGATCGTTTCACTTATACTCATGAACCTTAATGTTTCATTCAAGGGTGATATTGTGAGGAGAACTTGGATACTAATCACTGCTAGGGATTTAAGGGTTAAATGAATAAATAAATTAATAAGAGTAATGGCCATCTATCTCCCTGAACATACATGTACTACAGTACAAGAATCTCAAATACTTGAAAATTGTCAGTGGAGAGCACCCAATGGTACATGAACCAATCCAAAACAAAATGATACAGAGTCACTGAAATGAACACAACCACCTTCAATATTTTTTAAACATGAACACTATGTATTGAAAAATTTATATGCTGTAGTGCTTACATCAAGATCAAATTCTGGTGATTCACTGGAAGATAACGTCAGTGCTGCGATCCTGTCAATTCTGTAAACTTCATGACCCCCTGGTAAGTTACCAACATGTGTTTGCTTTGATATCACTATCAGTCTCCAATCAGCACCTGATGCCATGAAATAAAACAGATTAATTAGGGCAGATACTAAGAAAAAAGACATGCAGAAGGCAAGAAATTAAGAGCAAATAAAATTTATCCAATACTACCCCAATGTTTAACCAACATTCTGCATAAATCACCAAAAAATTATGTCACATCAATATGTAACTGGTTTCAAATTCAATTTGGACAAGAAGCTGACCAGCCTGCAATATGGTTGTTGGTAGTACGTGCTTTTGTATCTCTCTTCAATAGTAAATATGCAAACTTGAAAGGAAAAACTTTATGACAATCAGATATTATCCTTGCAACCTGTTTCCAGGGATTACAAGTTGAAATATCAACTGCAGAATATCAGCCATTTGTATGAAATACCATATTCAATGTAAATTAGAGCTTGAAATACAGGTGTACATGTATTAGCAGAACATTTAAGAATTTCAACTCTCTCGACAGTAATCAGGGTGAGATGTTACATTTTTCTTGTGTAGTTTAAAGTCAGTGCACTTAACCCTTTAACTCCCAGATGTGATTAACAAATAACTTCTCCCTACAATATCCATGTACTATCCAGCAAATTGGTAATGAGAATATTCAAATGTATCAGGTAGAAGTTGTTATCTTGATTGAACACCAAATTCTTGTAACTTATTCAAAAGGAAATGACTGTGTTGTAGCTAGAGCTGAGAATTAATAAGCAGATCTTGGGAGTTAAAGGGTTAAAAAAACTCTTTAAAATATCAATCTAGCATAATTATTATGAATTTATAATTGTTCAACGAATTCAACCAACTTCAACCCCACCACAACAAACTGATTGACATTGCATATTCAACTGGTAACAAATGTAAAAGAAATGACAATAAATTATTGACACAGCACATAGCTGATGAAAAGGAAAATGTACTTATAAGTAAAACCCCAGCAAAAGGCAAATAAAACAGGGTTTCATTAAATCTTTAGTACTAGCCTTCTAAAACAGTATATAGAGCATCTTATTGCTCACTGTTAAGATTTAATTTACTAACTTTAACCCTCTCACTCCCAGATCAAATTTGTAATTCTCCTCACTGTCAATGGTATAATTCCTATAATGTTAGTTCAGAGAATTTAGTATTGGATCAACTAATTATCCCAACATTGATATTTTTCTTTATTCTTATCACTTATCTGGTTGATATTGTATTGATATTGTAAGGAGAAATTCTTTCTTGGTCACTCATGGGAGTTAAAGGGTTAAAGAGGAGAAAAATGACAACAACAGACCCTTAATCCAAAACAGCCTCGCAGTTTCAAGTGACTTGCAGCACTGGGGACATGTACATGTATGTACAAGTGTGTAATTGCAAAACCACAAAATGAAATACTCAGTCCAAAGTAAACATAGTTAATGATATCAACATCCTGCTAAAGTCACAGCACAGTAAATTCAATGCTGAGTCCTAGGATTTCAAATCTCATGGCAAACAGTCATTCAATATTCCATGCTTAAAGACCATCAAAGCAAGATAAACACATTTAACTTGAATTTTGATCAATAAGGCTGAATACATTAATTGGAAACTTAATATTCTTTCTTTAATTTTGAGAACATGGTAATGACACAGTACTGGAAACAGTTTTGAGCATGAAGTCTTAGGGTTTAACCCTTTAACTCCCATGAGTGACCAAAACAGAATTTCTCCTTACAATATCAGAACAATATCAGACATAGTTTGATGCTACTCTGGTTTGCAGATTTAATGAATGTAACCAAAGAAGTTACGATTCATAGACCCAACGTTTCAACACTCCTGTCTAGTGCCACATCAGGGGTGATCTAAACACTGCAACAAGAGGTCCTTTTATATGATCACTAATTAGCGGCCTTTTTTCTGACGAGGTGTAAATTGGCGTCAGGAAGCAAACCGCCATCGTCACGATTTAAAGGAGCGTGGGTGGAGTTAATATGCAACAATATCAATCAATATCAATATCAATCAGACAGATAATGAGAATAAAAAAAATATAAGTTTGAGGATTTTCTAGTTGATCCAGTACCAAATTCTCAGAACTAGCATCATAAGAATTGTATGGCAGACAGTAAGGAGAATCACCAATGAGATCTTGGGCATTAAAAGGTTAAATGCTGTATTTACCAAATTGCACAAGGAAAAAATGATGCGGTATAGAAGCATAGTATAGTACAGATACAATTACTGGCATCAGGAAAAATATCTCACCATAAAACATTGATGTGCAAATGACAGTGAACAGTACACGTGAAAGAGTGTGTTCCAGGGAATAGAAACATTTTCAAGCCCATGATTTCATTGTCATGTTAGATAGATGTGAAAGGACTCCAGTGAACAACCAAAATGGTTAAGTCGGCATCAGATGCAGGAGATCTCACTTACTCAAGCCTATTCTCCTGATGTTAAAAGCATGAAGTGACTTGATAAATTTTCAAGTCACCTGAGGGATTTTAGGTGGCGATATTAATTATATATGGTGGATTTTATAGGTTATCGCATCAAACGGAGTTCAGCACTCTGTAACCACCATTAGATAATTTAAATATTTCAAATGCACTGCACAAAAAGGGAGGAAAATAAAGAAAAGAGAAAACAAAGATAACCAAGGTAATGACAGAAATTAATTAATTATGCCTCATCTAATCCATGAAGATGTAGTCATGTGTGCTAATGAAACCTTTAACAATCCAAAGTCTGTAATTTTTAGAGTTCGCATGTCAAGAAATAAAAGAGAAATTCCCATCAGGTAAGTACTAAGAAACACATCATTAAAAGTCTGACATGCTCAGTGTGAATTGCCAAAAAAAAAATTATTAGTGGTGGTTGAGGAGTGAGACACATAGATAAACTGGGTACATTCCATTCATTTATATTTTATATGCTTTGAATTTCGATGTAATATTAAGATATGTGTTTTTTGTGAATGTTTCACAATCAATAAGGAAAGGATGACCAAACATATAAAAATCAAATGATAATCGGTCACACAACAATCTTCATTGAAATGTACCAGTACTTTTCCCAGAAAATAACATATTATGTAATTCGACTAAATCTAGTAAATTTCTGGATGTTTTATAAAAAAATTTCAAACATAAAGAAAAGTCAATGTTCAGCAAATGGAATAAAATTGAAAGCTGCTGAATCTAATAAGACTTTACGATTTTATTCGTTCGTGTTAGCCTTTGCGTAAAATAAAAATCAACATCTGGCGTCTGGAAATTCCGGTGTAACAGAACATATGCGTGCAGCTCACATCTAGGCTTAAAAATAAAAAAAAAACAATCAAGCCTCGTTTGACAGAAATAATGATCAAAGAAAGCATTTTCACAATCTTCTGAAGAAAACCTCACAAAATACTTTGAGTGCAAACGCCGGAAAAAGTAAATGCACGAATAGATGGCGAATTATTATTTGAATCACGAATCGAATGGCATCCCAACAAGTTCTCGATTTGCAGTTCATAAATATGGAATCATTTCAGAAACCAAACAACTTCGATTTCCTACACACTTGAAAAAGCAGAGAATTCGACTAAATATCGAATTATATGTGTTCATCTTAATAGAATTTCCAAAAACCGTTTGTAAATAAACACTACGCTTTGTTAGTCTTCTGTGATGATCAATGAGCTTCCTAACAAATTGATTGTGAGCAGAAAAAAAAAACTACTATTTAGCATAACTCCTTCTGGAGTTGTCTACTTCAGCAAAGTTGCATTAAGGTAAATAAATCATTGTAGCGCTGAAACAATAATAATTAAAATAACGATAAAGAAAAATTTTGATGTAAAAATATATGATGTAAGCTTTTTAGGCCGGAAAATATTTTACCGGCAATTTCAATCCAACCGGTAATTTGTACTAAATGCTTGCTCCACCTTATCACTAGTAGATCGTCCAAGATCGACACAAGAAACAACAAAAAACCGGTGAAATATTAGTATTAGCCGTATCTTAAAAGTAAAGTTAATGAAATTTTAAAAAGTTGAACTAATTTTCTCCACACGCATATGGATGCGCTGTACATGAATATAGCTTAATCCTTATGAAAGATTTACCTGGGAAAAATTGTATTTTGCCAATGACCCCATACACAATTCCACGGCATTTCAATGACCAGGCCTCACCCAAATCAACTCCTGTGGTAAATAAAACTCACATTACTTTTGTATTTGGTACACCGAGTAACAATCGATCATGGAAAGGTTTCGCCCAAACACCGGTCGACAGACAAAACGAGGCCTTACCAAAGCGTGGCTGAAGGCGGCCGTCAAGCCTGTTACACCACAAACTATCAGGTCCATTTAGAATGATGAAGTTGTCCTGAGCTTGGAATAGTTCCATCTTTTAACCAGGAGCGAGGGACGAACTATAAATCCCATCTGCGAGCATTATCCAGACTTCCGAGTTTCTCTGTCAATGTTTCCTAGCCGCCATGTTGTGTTTTGGCTGAAGTGCCTTTGTTACCCACAACTCCCAGCGGACTTGGCAAGCTCTGTGCGCACGAGATCTCATTGTCTTCCAAGACAGCGTGCTGTTGATTAGTTTGAGCTGCTCTCTAGGATCGTTTTCTTCCTCTAAGTAGTTTTTCCACGATGAACTGATGGATCAAATACCCTGTATCCCGTTGCTGTGTGTGAAAATTGTTTCAATCAGAATTAATTTTTTTTCGGGGAAGGTAAGGTGCGGGGGAGGATTCCTTTAGAGTTCACTGAAATTATTCCCTCTCAAAGGCACCCCCCTTTATCGAAGGTTATTGTAAGTTTAAGTTTTTAGTACAGAGATCGATCGATCTGTCAAACCTTTAAACAAAGCGAGAAGAGGGAATCTAGATCATTCTGGTACATTTGTAAGTTTTTATATCCCTTATCTTCGTTTCTCTGAAGCAATGATTGCTCGAAGATTGCGTCATATCTCGCTGTAATCATGTAATCACCGCTCACGAGGTGATTATAGTAGGAGACTTGAAAATAATCAATATTAGAGACCAAGAAAATCATGACTTTGGAAATCTGGTAAATTGAAATATGAAAAATAGGTGCCTACTTCAAATGATTAAGACATCATGAGAGCTCTTTTAAATTCCTCCGCTGAAAAGGACCGCAAGACCAACTGAATTGTATCGAGACATCACGTGCAAAAAGAATAAGAAAGGACGTCCCATACCCCCCCCCCCTCACATTCGCAAAAAGGAAACAGTTGATATAGCAACGCACTTGTATTCTGACCTTTTACGGGTACACTCTTTTCTCCAAATAATTTTTTCTCTTTTCTTTTAGAAGATGAAAATTAATTGCGCAGCAATCAGAATTTTAAACGAAGGCAATTACCGAAGCGCAAAGTTTGTCTTTCCTTTCCCTAATTTTGAAAAAAATGGGAGGTCTTAATCATTTCAGAGAGTAGAGGTTTTCGGCGATCGAATAATAACAAGATTTATACAGAAAGCCTGTAAACACTGCTTGCATATCGCCCTTGACGGGATATTTATACGAGCGCCTAGGTTGCGCAAAATGTGCGCAAACCTTATGTACCCAGTCTAAATTTCTGCCCCCTCTTTCATCTATTAGTAAAATATGCTTATCTCGGCTCTTAGCTATCAGTTTCTAGACAGACCGTTATATTTTTGACCAACACTCGTCCGTCAGCTGAGCCCCGCGCAAGAATTGAATATGTCAAACCTTTCTACGGAAGTCAGTTGACTTACCAAAAAATAAGCGAAGAATGGTGCGGGGAGGATATGGAGCCATTTAGTGATGGATAGATGAAGGGAGTTTCGGGTCCTAACCACAACTTAGAAATGATTTTCAGCTAATTTCCGAATTAAATTTGAAATGACATCTACAAATATTATAACGCGTAAATGAATTTCGTGAAGAAGAGTGTTTCGTGCATAATTATGATAAAAGGAACAACCATTTAAAAGTGATTACCATGGCCACAGCTGACTTAATTCCTTTCAGTAGCCTTCGCGTTGCATAGAGATCACTTGCTTAGCTGACTTGTTTACTTGTGTTTGGAAAACAAGGTGTTAAGAACGAGCCATTCTCAGGTATGATAAGTATCGTATTTTACACCAAGGCTTTCTCGTTCATTGCTCTGTGGTTACGCCGCCTGATATCTTTTTGTTAAAGGCCTTAGGCCAACACTTTACCCTGGGGTGATATCTGAGAGCGTAACAAAAAGGATACATTTGTTTCCCTTTTTCCGTAAAACTGTTCTACGCCGCAGGCGCTCGCTGTTTCTTTAGAAAGCCGCTAAAAATTGAAAGAAAGTTTGTAATTGTGAGTAAAGGATCTCATTTCATTGCAAATTTGACGAACTAAGCAGGATTGAAGTAATAGATGTTGTTTGTTTATACTCATCAAATGCATTTAACAATAATCTGTGTTGCGCACGACTTCTGAGACGAGGGGGTTTTATTTCACACAAGAAATAACATCATTTTCGAGGAAACCAAAAAAAGATTGTTTTACCTAAAGAAAAAGAAATTATCCACAGCTCTAGGTGCACGTCGCATTTTATGAGAACTATAATAAAAACACTGCGTGTGGCGTTTTGAATACGAACATCGTAATGGCCTATTACATCCTAGAGCTCTCTGTAACCCAGTGGTAGAGCACTGAATCGTACATAGAGAGAGTCTGCGGTTTTATTCCTCACGAGGACTCAGAGATTTTTCGTTTTTCTTCTTTCTCATAAATTTTGGAAGTAAGTTTTTAAGATATTTTTCAGTGATCTCTCGTTACATAATGAAATTAACATTGTTGCTTAGTTATGTGACAACTTTGTTAATAACGTTGCGAAATATTTGGGAGGATACGAAGAACTGTTCTTCCATTTGCAGTAATTAGTTGTTTAACCCTCCGGAAAATGCAGATAAATGAATTGACACGTATGGTAAAGGTTTCTGTAATAGCCTTTGTCTCCTTCCGATTTTGACGGTTGACGGCTTTAAGCCTTGGAGTGCCCCTGAGACTGGTTGACGGTTATTAGGATGACATTTTTACAATGATTTTTAAAGCATATTAATTTTTTTCTTTCATATGAATCATTAAATTATATTCAATTTTATTTAGTATTTCCCCTAGTTCCCAATATGATAGTTAAAATTGGCATTAGCGCCAGACCTCTCGCCATACTGGCGCAGACTTGCTTTGCTTAAGGCCCTTAATTCATTCCATCTCCTTCTCCTTCTCCTTCTCATTTTCCCTCCCCTTCTCCTTCTCCTTCTCCTTCTCCCTCTCCTTCTCCTTCTCCTTCTTCTTCTCCTTCTTCTTCTTCTTCTTCTTCTTCTCCTTCTCCTTCTCCTTCTCCTTCTCCTTCTCCTTCTCCTTCTCCTTCTCCTTCTCCTTCTCCTTCTCCTTCTCCTTCTCCTTCTCCTTCTCCTTCTCCTTTCTCCTTCCCCTTCTCCTTCTCCTTCTCCTTCTCCTTCTTTTTCTCCTTTTCCTTCTCCTTCTCCTTCTCCTTCTTCTTCTCCTTCTCCTTCTTTTTCTCCTTCTCCTTCTCCTTCTCCTTCTTTTTCTCCTTCTCCTTCTCCTTCTTTTTCTCCTTTTCCTTCTCCTTCTCCTTCTCCTTCTCCTTCTCCTTCTCCTTCTCCTTCTCCTTCTCCTTCTCCTTCTCCTTCTCCTTCTCCTTCTCCTTCTCCTTCTCCTTCTCTTTCTCTTCCTCTTTCTTCTCCTTCTTCTCTCTCTCTCCTTCTCTTTCCCTTCTTCCTTCTTCTTTTAATTTGTCTTCTTTTTCGTTTTCTTTTTCTTCATCTTCGTCTTCGTCTTTTTCATAAGCAATATCTTATTGCGTGCAAATAATAGTGGCTCCCGATCAAGGCAAGACATTGATACCGCTTATCTGATTGTTGCAGGAAACCAAAGGAGGAATGCGGGTCAGTTCTTTAAGCCGTCGTCACTTCTTCTTTATTTTAGCCATTGGAGGAATCACAATCTTCGCGTTTACAAACATGAGGAGTAAAAATCTTGGTGGGTAGGTTTAAATTTCGTGCACATTTGCATACCACGAAAATTGTTCAGAATGTATATCAACAAAAAAGATATCACTTCAGTCATATAACTTTTTAAAGAAGGAGTTGGAGGTTAAGGTTATCTCGTATCTATTCCTTCCGTGGCCTAGAAGGCAGGATCTGAGTACGATATTTAATTTCTCCGAAAAAGGTTTACCCAGAGCGAAGTTTATTTGTCAAATGAAAATAAAGTTGTTCATCTGAGTTGAAAATTAGCTTCTGTTTGTGTACTTGCGGAAGTCTGGATACGAATTGCTACCGCAAAGTCGCTATGGATCCTTTTATGGGAAAGTACTGCCACAGAATCCTCAACGACCCTCCGATACGGTAGAAGAAAGCAGTCCTCGCTAAAAAGGAAGCGATGAAATACTCTCAGCTTACTTCGAAGGCAGAGGGAAATGAAAAAGAACCCATCTGCCCTGGATAGATTGTTTTTAGAACAATATCGACAGCTGATGAAAATTGTACATTTTATTTTTGTCTTTCACAGTCACCATTTCGACCGTTCAAGAGCTAATTTCGAGTCCTGAACTAAACCAAGTTATGACACAAATTACGCGAACAGATGGAAATGGAACTACCCCAGGTAACTAACTTAACTTCATTTTTGTTCCAATTTCATATACAAGGCAGTCGAATCATTCAGCCTCGAATCAAGGAAGATATTTAGTTTGCCTGAACATGTTACGCAAAGGGGCATTTTTTCCCTCTGCAAACCCTAATGAAGAGCATATGGAACTGTCATCCGTCAATTACTTCTACAAGTCTATTTTTTATCACGTTTACAAAAGTCTGCCAAAATTTAAATTTGAAGTAAGCTGTCAATGGGTACGAAAACAGTGAACCAATCCGCCTCGCTTACAATTGACCGATCAACGTTGGATGGAAATCATTACTTTAGTATTCATGGGTAAAGTAGATTGGATCAATATCAGTATCTGGGCAACTGCCCATCTACCCCTCCCCTAACCCAACATTAACTTTAACTTGTTGTCAATTGACTGTTGTTGAGTTAGGGGACGGGTAGGTGGGAAGTTGCCCAGATACTGATATTGATCCAGTAGTTTAAAGCTAGAAGGGATGATTATGCAAATGACCAAACAAATATTTCCCTATTGATATCACAAAATGGGTTCATTGGAGCTTCCATCTCAAAGATACTTAATTTCCCCATGATCTTCCAAATCCAAAGAGATCCTGTCAGGTCGGGGGGCGTTTTGTTTTACCAATGCATTTTCTTATCTTATTAGCAGAAAAAGATGAGTACAAGACCATTGATACGCTGCTGTTTTTTGTTGGCTACCCAAGAAGTCGTCACACCTTAATGGCATCTCTGCTGGATGCCCACCCTCACATGATCGTGGCTAACGAAAATAACCTGTTTTACCGGTTGAAGAATGGTAAAAAGTATGAAAGGAGCCAGATGTTTGATACATTAATTGAGGGTTCCAAAGGTTTTCTAAAAGGAGGCAAAGGAATAGTGATGAAGGGAAACCTTCAAAACACTTCTCATTTTGGATTCTGGATGGAAGGTTACTGGCAGGGGAGTTATGATAAGTACATTAAGGTAAGGCTTTAGAACATGACTCGTTCTCGTGTTGTTAATTGGTGGTGATGAGAAGGCCTGGTACCGACACAGCGGCGAAATGAGTGCGTATGCTCCGCTACTCGAGCCATTTGAACGTTCAGGACTGCAGTTCTTCTTCTGCAAACATAACCTGACATGAGGTTTTTCGCCGAGACATCGCGAGACATTGAGTATTTTCTCTAGAGGCTTGCCTACTGAGGAGGCAATGATAAAAAGCGCTAAAGCGATGACAGCTGCTACGAACTCCGTAGCCACGTTGCAGCTGCTCAATTTTAGTCCCTAAATTCACACTTGTCATCAAAACGCTTTTTATGTTGAGTGAGAATGTTGGATGTGAGAAGGTTGGACAGAAACTTTTCTGAAAATGGCAACCTTATCTATTTTTGTTTAGTCTTATCTCTTCCGAAATGAAACAAACAACGGGAATGTTAAAAATGCTGCCATTTTGTCTTAATAGTGTTACTATGGAAATATTGTCGTTCTCATTCCTTTGCACGTGAAATTTCTCGCAAATTACAAGTAAACACACTCATTTTGTCGATATGTCCCCGGTAGTGACTTCCTCCGACACATGCGTTCCAGATCTCGGCCGCACCCAAGATCCTATTGGCCTTGGGTGGAAATTACTTGAGATCCGCTGGTGTGTTTGTGGTTCAGTACCTGCCTTTACAGCCTAAAATAACCAAATTTTTCGATAATATTTAAATTGTGAAGTCTATTTTAAAGTACTTAACTCATGATTTTGCTAGTTTTAATTGTAATTGCCACACACAAACCCACTATGGAGATGTGCCAATGAATTTGATTGTTCTTTGTTCAAGCAAAGGTTCTTTGTCATCATTTTAATGCAAAGAGACGCTATAACAGAGTGAACATCAAGGGGTTTTTTTTATTACTAGGACTGTTTATACTTTGTACTCTATTTTTCATTTCCATTATTGACGAAGTTATATAACAAGAAATCCTCCAAAACGTATCGAAATAGCAATTTGGTTATATTATGCCACCGTAGTAAGTGCATTGGGTAGGGGTTTCTGCAAAGTCAAACTTCCTGTAAACTGCTTGGAAAGGAAAGTTGAATGCGATGCTTTTGTCCAATGATGATATAGATGAAGATGATCAATATGAACCCTCGTTACTTAAGTGAAAGATTCAGAAAGATGATGTTATTCAGTGAATGACACAGGCACACTTGGAGAAAATGAAACAAAATTATTGCAGTTATTCCTCTCCATTGTTTTTTTTTTTGTTTTTCTTTTTAATTCGTATCTAGGTCATTGGCGACAAGACTGCATGGATGAATTCTGGAGTATTTCGGAGCACTACCCCTGAAGACGTAACAAAATTAGTGGATGACATCGAGAAGAAATACAGAATCAAAGTAAAGTTCATCCACATGATGAGGAATCCGTTTGACATTGTGTCAACGATAGTTTTACGCAACACCAAGCAGAAAGGCGGCAGGTTTAAAGACCATTCCCAAAAAGTAAGAAGGAATGTACTGTATTTCCTCGAATATGCACCCACGCTCCAATAAGCGCCCCAATAAGTTAAAAGTTCTCAATCCTAATGCTCACTAAACCGTTTTTGTCGGCAAAGTTTGGTTAAAATATTTAAACGTTTTCTTCACCGTTGATAATTAGCGTCAAAGCGCGCAAGAATTGGCCCTATTCTTCTTTTAGTCGTCGTCTGCTCATCAAAATCGTTTCTGCTTAAATTATCTTACGTCAAACAAGCATCCCTTTCGAATAGCCCGCCCCCCCTCCATCATCCTTCCTTAAACAGTTGGGTGTTACTAAATTATTGGAGCTTCGTATCATGGAGTTGTCTTTTAATTCGTATTACGTGAGTCCGCTGTCGCGATATTCAGGTAACGGAGAGAGACCTGGATCAAAACTGCGTACTAAGAGGTTAGAGTAAGGGAAGGGAAGAAAGAGCAGGGGTATGAGGTGGGGGATATTTTGGTTGGGATAACTGACCTCGACCGCGAGTACGTTGAACCTTCAAAATTTTCAAACCAACCGTTCCACCACCTCGCAGAATGACCTTAGACTTAAGAGTCTGCTTTGATGTTTGGTTTAATTTTGTTAGTAAGAGTTGGTTCTCTTTGCATTTTTCATCTCAAGGTCGATGACCCAAAACTGTTGGAAGAAAGCATGGAGAGATTTTTCAACTGGGCTCAGGGAAGTGCTATCGCCAGAGAAGTCTTAGGAGACAAGCTCCTTGACGTGGACGGTCTTAAACTCGTGAACAAACCCATAGAGTACATGTCCAAAGTGTGTCAATTTATTGAAATCGCGTGTTCTGACGAATACCTCATGGCATGCGCAGAGGTTGTGGATTCCACACCCTCTACAACTAGATATTGGGTAGTTTGGAGAAAAGAACATAAGAACAGAATGTATTCTGAATTCGAAAAGTATCCCTTTTTAGCTCATTATTCATTTGATGATTAACTGTATACCAATAGATTAGAAACTATATAAAATTTATAATTTATAAACAAATTATAAATTAATGGTCGTCGTTGCCAAGTTAATATGTAGAAGTTGTATAATATAATAGCCATATTAAAACATCAGAGATCTTGCAACGAGAATTTTCTCTTTCCTTTTGATTCACGAAACTTTGTCTGCAGAATTCTAGAAAACATTTCACATGAAAAATTGCACGTCCGAACGCCAGGGAAATATATACATTTTTATCTTAAATCCCTGTATCTTTAGACTTCTCAGTGGAAAAAAAGAAATGTTTAAAAATCACAATTGTGACGCAGATGGAAATTCCTCATCTTTTTTCCTCACCATCAAGAAGAAACTGAAATAATAATAAAAAATTTTAACATTATTAATTATCATGAATAATGATTGTTAGGATAATTATAGCAGTAGTCGTAGTTACTCGATAATTTCGCCAAGAAAATAAAATTGCTCCTGGAAACTTTTGAGCAGCGATTGAACAACTTCTGAACAAGTGATAGTTTATGTAATTTTAGGAGTTCTCCGCGCCTCTACCAACATATTACAATTTATGTGTCCCTGAGCTATTTAGTAAACATCTTGTAGATTAAACTTACAGCTGAGAATTGTAACCTTAGTAAAATTTGAAGAAGCCACTTCTTTCAAGTAAATTTAATTCGCTAAGGTCTCCAAATTATAAACGAGATTTTAAATGCTGTAGTCTCTTTGCAAGTATGAGGTTTTTCTTACATAAGGAAACTTGGAACTATACTTCTCAAAGTAGTGATTAATATAAATGTTCTTCTAGATTCATTCATTGAATGGTAAATATTCTGCAGTACCAAGTAACTAACAGGAATTATTCAGAAGTATTCGCGACGTCATTCCTTTGCTATAAACCCTTTCCTTCTACGACGAATTGTTCGATTTTATGGCTTTGCTTCTGTCAAATCTAAATGCAATACTTTTTGTCAGAACCGAAGAACATCGAATTCCTCCGTAGTCCACAGCCTCTTGAAGAAGCTTGAATATTCGATTTGTTCTAAATCTGACCAGCTCCGTCAACGGTACGCTGTCCTCGGTCTTTTGGGAAATTTATTAGTACATGTGGCAGTCTATAATGCTATAAAAAGGTAAGACGAAACACGCTAAAATTCAATCTCTATTTTACCTTGTCCTTTGTGTGAGAAATGTGGCGAGGAGCTTGAGTAACGCTACTGTTAAGAGTACCAGGAACGTAAATTGGCCACCGTAAAGAGTTTAAAAGCTGACGTTTCGAGCGTTAGCCCTTCGTCAGAGCGATTGACGAAGAGCTAACTCTCTGACGAAGGGCTAACGCTAACGATCTTCATGTATTTGAGTACGTCCGTCCTTCAATATATATAAATGATACGTAAAAAATAGTCAAAATGCCAGTCAGTTCAATTTATTATATAAAGGCTTGTATAAAACGATTCTCACATCAATTGTAGATCTTCGACTAGGGTGCCTACGTCAGTGTCACTGCAGAGCTCGTTTCAAAACAATCTCCTCCCCCCTCTCCACTACCTCTCCCCCCAACCCCCCCCTTCAACAATAAAAAACGTCCCAGAGATCCCACGAAGGAAAAAGTGTGTCTTGAGATTTTTGAACAGCTACAAGACAGTCACTCAGCTTGTCCCTCCTTTCATTATTTTTTAATCAGTCCGTTCATTTGGTTTCTTTTTTCGCAAGTTGACAAACATTTTGCTAACTAGGCCAGAGAGAATATTGGCCTCGGTCTCTGATAAAGACCACCTCTACGTTCAAATATCTCTCTTCAACTTCTGTACGCGGTTTAAGAAGCTACCGAGCGAAAACCGGACACGAGAGAGCGGCGGAAAATCGATTCTAGGTTTTTGGAGTTATATCAAAAATGTAAATATTTGTTGAAATCATTGCTTCGTCTTGTGGGCCTCGCTTCTTCGAAAAATCTGTCAACCTTAATTATGTTCTTTTTTTAAAGCTAAATGCTATGTTTTTTAAAACTTTCTACAGAAGACTGGCTCCTTCATCGGCTTTCATCCTTCTTCGCCTCGAGTGCTGCCCAAATAAGTATGTTTTTCAGTTGTCCTCGACTCGATCAACACTGTAAACGTTGCACTGTCGTACGAAAACAAAGAAACGAATTCATAGTTATAGGTTTGTAATGCTAAGAAGTGGTATAAAAGAACGTTATGCATTTGAAAATTCGCGCTTTCCCAAAAAAAAAAAAGGGAAAAAAAACCAACCAATATCTAGAAAAACAAAAAATAAAACGGCGGAAATATTCAAAGAGGAAGAAGGAGTAAGAATTGTTGAGGGTGGAGAGGATTGTCTGTTGGTTTGTTTTTTGTTTGTTTATTTATCAAATCATGACGAGCCGTCTACAAAACTTGACAGGTCAAATACTCCAGTTAAATTCTCGTTCTTTTACTTGTTGTACTGAACGATAAAAATTTCTTTAACATCCGACTACCCCACCCGATGTTTCCTTGCAAGCCTCTTCCGTCCCTTTTTTGGGCTCCTGTTTGAATTTCTGGAGATTGTCCTTCTTTTTACGCAACATTTTATTCACGACATCACGAACCTAAGAACATCAACGAAAAAAGGTTAATTATAAGTAATAAATATTCTCTTATTGCATTTCGCATAGAAGTAAATTATCTTTATTTTAAATATCGTTCAATCATAATCGAACTAAGCTGATAGGGAAAATATGCCAAATTTTAGTTAACGACTTATCAAAAGACTCGGTTGCAAAGAAAATAAAGATACCGAAACAATATGTAATACTCAATTAAAAAAAAAAAAGCTTTTAAAAATTCAAGTCGTTTAGTATCGAATTTAACATATGGGACCGACCTAGGTAATGCCAAATCAAGAGTACGCGACCAGTCGACTGATCATTATTTATCGAAAGGGGTCGGAAGATTTTGTTAATGGGGGAGGGGAGGGTGGGGATCTCATGGGTTTTTAGGGGAAACAAGGGGAGGATCAGTCCGGCACTCCATCACATCCCCCCCCCACCCCTCCCTTCTCAGGCGATGAAATGAATAATGACCGGTCCTTAACCCTTTCACTCCCAAGATCTCCTTAGTAATTCTCCTTACTGACTGCTATACAATCATTATGATTTAATTCTGAGAATTTGTTACTTGATCAACTGAAAATCCCTTAATTGATATTTCTCTTTATTCTCATCACTTGTCTGCTTGAAATTGTATGGATATTGTAGAGAGAAATTCTGTCTTGGTCACTCAATGGGGTTAAAGGGTTAAGCACTGGGAATGGATGACGGTCCATTTTTTTTACCTTTTTTTTCACTCCTACACCCTAGTCCCAAGTTGAAAACGATAGGTTTAATCTTGTTACATTTAGGTTTCTCGCTTTTACCAGTTACTGTATCTTATTATAGAAGTTCAAAAGTAATCCTGGCCTGCATTATCTTTTTAGCCACTTGGCTCCATCTCACATCGTTTTCTCTATCTGTTAGATTTAGAAGTATATCCAATTCAGAAGTTCACCAACGTTTTCTCGCACTTTTACAATTTTGCGTATTCTTGTACTAGGTTCTAATAGGTTCTCTATACATTCCTTCATTTTGAAAATATATATATATATGTATAGATATATATGTATGTATTTATATAATTTGCTTTTTTGTTTTTTCAACACTCAACTGGAATTCGCTCAAGACCCAGCGACTTGAAAATAAAAATTAAACTAGAATTAACGTCAGTTTTTACACTCACCTCATCGTCATGTACACAGTGGGAGAAAAAAAGAGCAGAACACCCTGATAAATTAAAAAGAATGCAGCTAGAGTATTCTGCTGGGAAAATGAGAGCCCAACTCAATGAAGAAGCTATGTTATGTCGTAACGTTACGCCCTATAAGAGGGCATTAGGTACTCTCCTTCCTGTAAAGCTGGTTGGTTTCTTTAAACAATTTCATGTGGATTAATTTGTAAAATTCATTTTTATCTGGATCTAGAATAATCACGGATTGACTTTTTTTTCTATTTCACCCTTGTCCTACATAATTTTTCTTGACCGTCTTTCACTCTAGATTGCTGCATCTCCTTAATTTTGCTTTTCATCCACATTTCTGACCAAGAAGTCACGTGAAAAGCAGCCATATCAACAACGATACGCTTTAATTGCGTCACGCAGTTTACTTGGATGGAATTCAATAGCACATAAGAATATCCCACAGCAACATGAAAATCAACAAAGAAGTTCAGCAGAAAACGTTACACCCAGTAATGGAAGCAAAGCGAAGATAGCTTTCAGTCCTTTCCTGAAAAGAGCAAGAGTATTTCATAATTCCTTCAATTATATTCTGATAAATATCCTCTGAGTTACCAGGCATGAGAGTCTTCTGTCTCTTCAAAATGATACGATTTAAAGAGGGTCTGGATGGGGGTATCTCGAAAACACTAAACACTAAAATTTTACCTTCTATAACATCAAACATTAAAATTTTGGGCTGTTTAACATCTAACACTAAAAAATTCTCTGAAACACTAAAATTGATACAAATGTAACGAGAAACGGCTAAAAAATGCGCCAGATACTGATAACGATAAACGCGGGCATTCAATATGGAATCAGCTACAATCGATTTACATACTGTGTCATTTTGATTGCAATTTTGTGTTGTTCATTGTTTATGTCTCTATCATGGAAAATCATTGGAGACTATTTCTCTGCAGAAGGGTACATTATGCTTGACAATTAAAATTTTCCTCTGTCGTTATCACACTTTCGCAAACTTTCATTTGAACAATTCACAATCCACGTTCGCATCGCTTATCACATGACCCTCCGGATCCTGTGTTGAATCTTTCTGGTCAACATAGCCAGCTTCATCAAAAGCACAATGTGTTTCTTCATCCCATGATTCAATACATGAACTGACAGTCTCATCATGGCTTTGAGACAAGTCTGCGGATTCTTCCAAATCTTCGTTTAGGTAAACACTATCACTGTATAAGGAAATTATCACATACATGTATTATAGTTTTCGCAACATATAGATTCATTTCTGGTCATTGTTCATTGTG